TAACAACTACAATATAATATGCAAGTGATAGTAAACAGATGTTACTATTAACACAACATTACTGCACCTTGATTTTGACAATCTTAGGCTTGATTTCCAAGAACGGGCGATATTTCCCAGTTCCAGGGACTCTAAACTAACTCGTGGTAGCCTGGTTTTCAGTGAAATCGACAGGGGAGAAATAATTGCACGCCCGGTTTCGATCTTCCTGACCGAAATAAAGCCCCACTTAATTTTGACACTGAAAAAGTAGCCGAGACCGGTTTACGCGCACCTTGATTTCGTCCTACTTAGGGTCGATTTCCAAGAACTTGGACGACATTGCCGAGTCCCAGGAACTCTAAACTAACTCGAGAGGATCTTGGTTTTCAGTGAAATCGACAGGGAAAAAATAATTGAACGCTCAGTTTGGCCGAAATATAGCCACTGTTAAACTCACTTAAACTGACTGAAAAAGTCGCCGAGAGCGGGCTGCGCGCACCTTGATTTTAACGTACTTAAGGACGACATTTAGCCGCTGTTAAGCTCACTTAAGATGAGAAGAGATTGGGAAAATTTCTCGTCGATCGTTTATAAATTAAAGCCCTTTTTGCGTACGAGGAGAAAAAGTCGTTAGACAATAAGAGACAGGCTGTAAGCAGTCTAAAGAATGGTCTTCAGAACATTGGAAATTAAACATTAATCCAGAGTTTCTTTAACGAGATTACTGTTATTTTGCTACTTTTTTATTAAAAAAATATGGTCTGAGTACTGGTTGATATAATTACTGCAAACGGAGAAATTGTTCTGGATAAAATACTTGATAGAAAGTCAATAACAATTCTCATGATATAAAAGGAAAATTCAGAACAGTATAGGCTAACTTGATTAACTTTGTGAAGTCATCATAAAGAAAATTCTCCCCTGATGAATGAATAAATCATATCGCGGCTTCATCGTCATCAAGACCCCTGTTGTGAAATTGTGATTTCATGGCTTTTATACTTTTACTCATTTTATTTCGATGGCCGATTAATTTGATTCCCATTGCTTTCAAATCGTTCTCTTCCATTTTAGCAACCTGGTTGAGGGTATTGATGTTTGCAGCCTTGAATGTTTCCGAATACTTTGCCATGTTGATGTATTTCAGCCATTCATCCACCGAATGGAACTCTGGGATATCTCCCTCCAAAGACCTGAAAAATAATACTCGAAACTTGAAAATGATTTGGACGATATGTCATTAACTAAAGTGCAACGAGAGATTTCTTGGTTAGCGATTATTTAATAACAGAGCATATTGCGAGCGACTATCCAAGTTCTACGACGCCAGAATACTGATTGCCGGCTGCGCATATATTACCCTGCTGGCAGAGATTTCTTTCTGGCAAGTATTTTAGCATTTACGAAGTCGTTCGCGTCTCTTGCATTTCGCTTAGCCAGGGTACCCTGACTACGCGAAATGCAAGAGACGCGACTACGCGAAATACAAGTGACGCGAACGACTTCGTAAATGCTAAAAGACTTGCTAGAAAGAAACCTCTGCTAGCAGGGTACGAATATATTCACTATACATTACAAATAACTAATACAACACACTTGACAATTACTAACAATGACTGACAATAACGCGGACATGCATAGTCCATAATTCGTCACATAAAAGTTTGTCCGCTCGTACTTTTATCAACTATTTTCGTCTTAGAAGAAAGTTCCTTTTGGCGATAAGCTAACTAGGAGGCTACAGAGCTCTTAAGATGCTCCTCCATGAGTAACTTTTTACGCTGCTTACGTACTTAGCAGCCTCACGTGTGTGCAATGTAGCGTTTTAAAACTTACGTGGAGTGAAGAGACAAAGACTTGTCTTTCAGGCATTCTGGAGAGCGAATTAGTCCGTCCAGGCGATATACGATTTCAGAGAACTTGGGCCTTTTGTTTTTGTCTTCACCCCAACAGTCCAGCATCAAAGTATGAACGACTTTTGGACATCCCTTGGATAAATAAACAGAACGGAAAAGACTCATACGTATATAAAGCAATCTTAAATTATGTCAGCAATGGTGAAAGAAAGGAATGCCGAAAAACAGACCAAAATAAAAAGACACAACGAAAGACAACGAAAAGTAACAGATCACAGGAACTAAGTTTCTCGGAGACAAAATTGTCAAGTTTAACTTTTACTTGTTTTAGAGAGAAATTGTGACAATAATATGACGACAATGTCTTATTTTGTACTGGAAAATCTTGACATCCTCAATTTGGCGCGAACACATATGCTACAACTTTTGTCCGCAGCCGAGAAGCGGACACTTTTAAGTCTGTAGCTTCGAGGAAGAAATAATGTCAAAGGACAAATATTTTCAAACATTTTATTACAAGGTCACACTGCTCGCTATAAGGCATCAAAGTCTGTCACATGCTAAAGTTATAATGCCATCAACAAATCTTGCTAGGATGTTTAAGACACTCAGTTCTAGCCGGTTCTGGTCTGATTGTGCACACGTGTTAAAGTTCAATAATAATTTTTGAACATGCTTAGAGAGAGTGACCACAGTGACTAATGCTGACTCAGAGGTCTTGGTTCTTGGTGCTGACCAAGAGGATCGCGGCCTCTCGAAACGAGATTGATTTTTCTTTCAATTAAGGTCTGAGAAATATATTTTAAAGTGATTGACTGACAGCAGACCAATTTATCGTTAATTTTTAATTTGCACTGCGGCGCAAATTAACGCACACAGTCAGTCATACACGAAATGAGTAATCGTATGAACGCTCGGGCAATTAATGATTAAACTTATCGTGCTATTTGAAAATTCTATAAAGTCTTGTTCAATTTTGAGAGAATTCTCAAATATCATGAATAGTGAAATAAAAATAAAAGTAAACTAATTGTATTATAAGTAATTGACTTTTACTTGTTGAGTATTGTAAAATTGATGTTGTTATCGTAAAGTTGTAAGTATTGTACAAGTGTAGTTATTGTAAAGTAGTAAGTTTTGTAAAAGAAATGTAGTTATTGTCAAAACAAAAATGTCGTTGTTAAAAAAAAGGAATAGTAAAATCCTTGATTGCAATCGCACTCATACGATTACCATTACCTATACTATTAAGTTAATATGTAATGACCAACAGAATATACCCAAAAACCATACCTTTGGAGGTGGCAGCCGGTAACCAGTCTCCACCCTGTTAATCACCTGCGAAAATAAGAACGATTGGAAACCAGGTGAGACAACAGTTCATTAAATGAAATGAACACGTTATTCTTTTAACATTTCACTAATAACATTTCGCTCTAGTATCTAATTTTATGGCATCTCTTTCTGCTAAATATGATCGTGTTCGGTATTTTTGTGTGTTTTAGTGTTTCCATTCCTGAGGAGTAGGACTTATTAGAAGAGATGGCCGCACCGTCATCAGCATACGTAAGTTTATCTGGCTCCTCAGCTGAGAATGATAATTACAGACCAATATCGATTCTTCCCAATCCCGTCAAAGATCTTAGACTGAGAAAGGGGTGTATGTACAGCTAATGTCCCATCTTCATCATCATCATCCTCATCATCGTCATCATCATCACCACCATCATCATCATCATCATCAACATCATTCCTTGTAGCCCCCAGTGTATGTCCCATCTTGCAAGTATCTTATTGTAATTTAACTACACCGAGCTACTCAAATTCACAAAAGCAACTAATTCGTAGCATGCGGTAGCTTCAGGACTGGAGAGTGTGAACATTTGTATACCATTCGTTGACAGCTATTAGAAAGAAAATTTTGCCTGTGTTTTTGACTTCCTACTTCCTAAAACTTATTTTACAAGGACAAACCAAAACTTCAACACCAGGAACTTCAGTTTATAGTTAGAAATATGAATTCTTGAGTTCTATTTAGACAAAAGGTCAACGAACTTTTTCAGTTGTAGTTTTTATGGGAAGTATTTAAATGTGATTTTTATATGTAACTTTTATTGATACTTTTGACAGATTTTTTTGGATGTCTATATTTTTTCTTTTACGTTTTTACAAGGACCCCTTTGATAACAGTACTGTGTTAGTACTGATGGGTTTGTCCTGTTGAAACATTCGTTCTATTATTCACGTAAAAGAAGAGGTTTGCAATACGATCTAACTATAAAACCTCTGGTTCAAAGTGTAAAAAAGTTAACATTTTGTGACGCCGTTTCGACGTTCGCCTAACATCATTATCAAGTGAAATATTCCGATTTGATTATGATTATTTGAGGTTCAGTAATAATTTTTGAACACGCGAGGAGAGTGACCACAGTGACTAATGCTGGCTCACTTGACGACTTATGCAATCTTGTTTCATGATGTTAACACAGCGATATTACACAGTGATCACTTACGTCATAGTTGTTCCAGTCCCAGTAAGGTCGGTCACTAAATGACATGATTTCCCAAACCAGAATACCAAAACTCCACACGTCACTTGCCCAACTAAACTTCCTGTGTTGCAACGCTTCCGGCGCGGTCCAACGAACGGGGATTTTACCACCCTATAAGGCAGAAAAAAAAATGATTAGCGGTTCAACGAACAGGGATCTTAGGGCCCTTCAAGGCAGAGAGAAAAAATATTAGTGGTTCAACGAACGGGTATTTTAGGGCCCTTCAAGGCAGAGAGAAAAAAAGATTAGTGGTTCAACGAACGGGGATTTTAGGGCACTTCAAGGTAGAGAAAAAAAAAGGATTAGTGGTTGAACGAACACGGATTTTAGGGCACTTCACGGCAGAGAAAAAAAGATTAGTGGTTTAAAGAACATGATTTTAGGGCTCTTTAAGGCAGAGAAAAAAAAGATTAGTGGTTCAACGAACAGGAATTTTTAGGGCACTTCAAGGCAGAGGAAAAAAAAGATTATAGGTTCAACGAACAGGGATTTAGGGCACTTCAAGGCAGAGAAAAAAGGATTAGTGGTTCAACGAACAGGGATTGTACCAGCCTTTAAGGCAGTGAAAGAAAAAAAAAAGGATTAGTAGTTTCCATCCAATTATTCAAGTCATCCAAACGCATACCAATATTTGCTTTTAGATAAAGATCATATTTGTCAAGGAAAGCATAATATAAAACTAGATGGAGATGGAAGATAAGACGACTTCAAATGTCGACTTCAAATGCCAGACTTAAAACTAAACACTTTTGAAGGTCACAAAACCCAGACGCATTATTTATCCCAGACGCGTGGGATGGTCTTAAAATGTTACAAACCCACGCAACAAATTAAAACGTGAACTGATTTTAGAGTGGAAAACTGCAAGATGTACCTGTGTCTGGTACTCTGAGTCCGGATTGTCATCGGCCAGCTCCCTTGAAAGACCAAAGTCAGACACTTTGCACGACATGTTTTCACCAACGAGAACATTACGAGCAGCAAGATCCTTAATGAAAAGAAAGAACAGTTTTGAGTCCAACGGTCTCGTACTCCGTGGATCCTCCTCTATTAAAGGCGGTATCATTATTAGCTACGGAACCTTATTCACTCAGCGCAGTGTTAGCAATAGAGCTGCACACATATATAAACAAATACGGTATATAGTACGTGATGAAAAGCATTAAATACTGCCTGAAAAGTTAGTGTTTCATTGTTCTGCGGCTTGTTATATTTAGCGGTTGTATTACATACCCGATGAATAAAGTTCATCCCTGACAGATAGGCCATTCCAGAAGCCACACCCCTAGCCATTCCTAACAACTGCAGGTTCGTCAACTGACCATCACGTGCCTATCAAGAAAAAAGGGTATTCTTTAAGTGTGTTCCAATTCAAGGGCTTGAACTGAAATGGACTGGGGACACATCAGTTTAACTTTTAAGGTGTAAATCCCTAATTGCTCTTCTTATAAAACAGAACAGATCATTCCACGTAAAAGGAGAAGTAAATAACACAGGCAAAGTTCTCGAACAGTTTCATGAAGAGGGTTTGTAATAAAGACCGAACGTTCGAGGTTAATAAGTAGTTATTATAATAACTTGTTATCACTTAGATTATTACTTATCATATGAATGAGAAAATTACTTCATTGTGATTGGCTGAGATCGGGCCAATTTATCGTTGATTTTCAATTTGCACTGCAGTGCAAATTAACGCGCCCGCGCTCACAATTTTCTCAGTCATATAATTGCTGCCGCAGTGATTGAGCTTGAAGCGAACGAACGAGGCAGCGCTCTAATCGGGAAAAGGTTACATTGTAGGGGCCTTGAACATGTTTTTGTGAAACGCAAGGAACTGTAGGCTCGATGTATACCAGACACGAGAGTGCGGCGAAAATCGAGCCTAAAGGAATTGTGGTAGCGGTAAGATCAAAGGCGCAAGGAATTGTGGTTATGCGCGAATGGCTGAATTAAGATGCGCAGTCTGATCTTGTGCTCTCTCTCTCTTTCTGGCATCGTTGGTTGCAGCAAATGAAGGTGAGTGACAGTTTTCTGTTCTGTATTGCTATTTCTGACGCTTCTTTTATCGCTCCTATTTTCCTTTATAAACTTTTCTTTGTAATCTTTGCCTTTTCTGTATTAGGCAGCTTTCTATGAAGATGCGCTGTTTTCCATGTATTCTCTTCGATCGATGAAAATAAGAATGAAAGCTACCGGGAACAACAGGAGAATCAGTCCAAAATATCCAACAAATCACGCTTGTGGAGTCTCACCTAATACTAACAGAAGTCATTTGGAAAACTACAGAAACGAAGAAGTTAGTGTAGGTCAAAGGCGCCCGCCCTGATAGAGAACCAAGTCAGTGGAAAATTTTATCGTTACCTTAATTACCGTAAGTGTTAAAGCTCTCAAAACCAGAAGTGTAGAAGTAAACCAGTTGTAATCACTCGTGAAAAAGGTTCAATGTTATATTGTGTTATTGATGATGTTTAACTGTGTCAATTGCTACAACAGCAAGCAAAATTTTGATTTTTAACCAGGCACCTGTTTTATAGTTTGAAGCACAGTTCCCTCTCATCAAGTGTTACTTGCGATATTTGCGTACCGTTTATATTTTTTTTTATCTGCACAACTACAGTCAACATTTTGGAAATCACACGGAGGAAGAATATACTTCATTTCAATCCTGTGCAAAAATTACGGCTTGTCGTTGTTATTTCAAATCTCGAACTGGACGTTATTCAGCCGTGACCTAAAACCTTCTGGAATGTTTCTATTTCTCATGTAATATTCGAAACCTTGCAACAATGCTATTTAATTCTTTAGAGAAGTTTCTGGAAATTCCGGGTGTACTTGTACAAGAGCGCGAGTTTTGGTCGTAAGGGAGCAATGAAAAGTGTAATGAAGCTTAGTGCTGCTGAGTGAGTGCTGTAATCCGAGAAGTTAAATAAACCAGTTGGTTACTGTTACCGACGATCCTGAGTTCTGTATGGGAACAACCCTGCTCTGCATTGACACTCCTTACATCCACCTTCCCTTCGGCAGCATTTTGTACCATTTAGGTAAACTAGTACATTAGTAAACGCATGAAAGTTCGAGCAATTAAGGATTTACACTACTCGTGATATTCTTTCAAATCGCATTCGTTTCAAGGCTCGTGCAATTTGCAGGGAATTTTCACATATCACTGGTAGTGTAAATCTTTAATTCCACTCGCGTTCATACGATTACCTACACTTATTATTATCACTGCTTATAGCTATTACTTCTTTGGTGTTTCCCTACTTACTATTGTGAGAATTCGCTCAATTTGAAAGCGATTTTACAGAGATAAAAAAAATTGGGTAACCTAGATTCTATGGCATCAAAAATACACCCGCGTATCAAACGTAAATTACTTTCAAAAAGTGATCCAGTGATCCACTTTCCAGGAATTCTGTGATGATCATCATCGGCCTACCTACAACAAGTAAAAAAAATTGAGAGGTGACAATAAGTATTTTCAAACACGTACTGTGTAAAAACAACAAGTAATGTCTCTACCCCAAGTGGGTGTTTCGAAGTGTCGTCCCGAAGATATCGCTTTGAAACCATCAAGGGATCAAACATCCTGAATACTCTTTCGCAAACATCAAGTTCTCTAAAATTTTCTCAAACTCAACAGGAATCTTCCAGTACGCACTTCCTAATTTAGCATACAGAAGAAGACATGTCGCGTACGCAGGACAGAAAATTACCTGCAATTAGCCCTCAAAAAAAGGATGACTAATCTCAAGTTAGGCAGAGAACAACGCCAGCGTCGTGATAATTTTTAATTACAATTACTGGGCAAAATTCACAACAACATCTGTACGTGGATACAACATTTCCAGCCCAGCCTTCTAAACTAGTATAGTTTGACGTTTTTCAGAAAATGTTGCTTTTAATTAACGCTGAAAACGAAACAAAATGTAAGGAACAAACAATTGTAATCATTCATTAACATCTAGCTCGACATTAATCCATCTAAGTCATTATTTAAGGAAGTTTCAGTTGATAATCACTTAGTGTAACACCTACTTTGAGTAACAACCCCTATGAGCCTGATTACGTTGGGATGGTGAAACTGACCCATGATGGACGCCTCGGACAGGAAATCTTTTTGGTTTTTCTCGCTTGAACCAGGCTAGAATAAGGAAACAAGTGATAAGCGATATTGCCTCATTTTGTATTCACCATTCTTTAACCTTCAACCCAATATTTAACCAGGGAGCCAACCCACTGACACTATTTTCAGTAGAGCCTTCAGAAAACGTTCTCGTATCCACTCTGGTATGCACTATCTAACAAGATAGTTCACAGTATTAGTAAATACTTGGGTCTTTAAAAGTAATCCACTTCACTGTAAAGATTCTAGAATAGATAGCTAAGACAGGGGAAGGAAAGAGAGAAAGTTTATTGAGGCAAATCTTTCATAAAACTATTCAAAAACTGACTCTCAAGACTTTGACAGCAACGACATTTTTGCCATCTTTAGTTTTTAATGTTCCCTTGTAGACGTCGGCAAACTCCCCTGAAAAACCAAGAAAAGAGTTTTTATCAACAAAGAGTCAAGATAAATTTCCTCTCACGTGGTTCCTGATCGATTCAATATTCTCTTTACCTTGTCCAATAAGTCCCTCCAGTTTAGTCTTGCTCCTTTCGAGTTCCGAAGTAAACGTGGACAGAAGTTCCAGAAGATCGAGATAGTTTCCAGGGTCGATATATCTCCGTTGATCCACTGAATCCATGGACTGTAACGCACTCCCTTTATAAAACGAAATCCATGGATTTAAACTCGTTTCCACGTGATAATCCGTAAAAAATATCATTATTTTANTGCCATCTTTAGTTTTTAATGTTCCCTTGTAGACGTCAGCAAACTCCCCTGAAAAACCAAGAAAAGAGTTATTATCAACAAAGAGTCAAGATAAATTTCCTCTCACGTACGTGGTTCCTGATCGATTCAATATTCTCTTTACCTTGTCCAATAAGTCCCTCCAGTTTAGTCTTGCTTCTTTCGAGTTCCGAAGTAAACGTGGACAGAAGTTCCAGAAGATCGAGATAGTTTCCAGGATCGATATATCTCCGTTGATCCACTGAATCCATGGACTGTAACGCACTCCCTTTATAAAACGAAATCCATGGATTTAAACTCGTTTCCACGTGATAATCCGTAAAAAATATCATTATTTTAAGAGGAAGTGTTTTGTCATGAACGTATGGCAACGAGTACAAGCTGGTTGATCAAGTAACTCTTACTGGTTCCGTTATCAGGAATACCTTCCCAGCAAACTCGAGTAATTGGCGTCATTATTGCGTAACTTTGTGGTTGTTCGGGTTGAATGCAGGTTAACCTCATTCCCAGGGTCTCTCTTCTCCCCGCAAGAGAGGAAATGAGAGACCTTGTGAACGAGTTGTATGCAGGCATCATTAGCCCCATTGGGGAGGTTCAATAAAGTATTCATTCATTCATTCATTCATTCATTCATTCATTC